AAGGCATTCCTATTTCCAACCTTCTGAGGAAGTGCCATATTGCTTTCCAGAGTGGCTGGACCATTTAGCAATCTCACCAACAATGTAGGATGGTCCCAGTCTCTCCACATCCCTGCCAGCATTTATTGTCCTCTACTTTTTTGATCTTTGCTGCTATTGCTGGTGTGAGATGATATCTCATTGTTGTTTTGATTTGCATCTCTTTAATGGCTAGTGATCATGAACATTTCTTCATGTGTTCGTTGGCTGATGTGACACTGTAGGGTAAGCACTGGACTGCTAACTGTAAGGTCAGTGGCTTGAACCCATTAGAGTTGCTCCTTGGAAACCCTATACAGGGTGGCTATGTGTCAGAACTGACTCATCAGCACTAAACAACAACAGCAAATCAGATTAACATGAGCTCATAATGGAGTAGAGTCAATCCTAATCCTTTAAGACTGGTGTCCCCGTAGAGGAGGAAAAGATACACAGAGATAGAGGAAGGATATCTCATTTGATTCTGTAGCTCTAAGTCACAGATACCTGGAGCTACTAGAAGCTAGGAGAGAGACATGGAACAAGACACTGTTTCGTTCTGCTGTGCATAAGGACGCTATGGTTTGGTACCGACTTGATGGCACCTCACAACAACAATTGCTTACCATCCACAATATGTTCTGTGAAATACGACATAATGTGTTTTGGACATTGTGCACACACCATTAAAAGTGATGGAACCTTGGGCACCCTTCAGCCAAGCAGTAGATAGATATACAGGGGCAACAACACCAAAAGTGAGGTACGCAACCATTCGAGATCAAAACGGCAGCATTAATCCAAGGACAAAATTTAGAAGGGTTATGAGGAATGGAAATGAAAAACATAGAGAGGAAGTGTAATACATGATGTTACATTCACATGAAGTGAACTCATTTGCTCTCTCAAACTTTACTCAAGTCACAGTAAAAAGTTAAAACAAACAAACAAAAATTTTACGGAAGCCCACTCATTGCTGCTGCTGCTTCTGCCACCACTGCTGGAGCTGTTAGCAAAGGCTGGTTGTTGTTGTTGTTAAGTGCCGTCGAGTCGGTTCCGACCCATAGCAACCCTGTACAGGGTTTCCGAGGCTGTAAATCTTTACGGGAGCAGAATGCCTCATCTTTCTCCCGTGGAACAGCTGGTAGTTTCGAACTGTTCACAGCCCGATTCGTAACCACTACACTACCAGAGCTCCTTTGGCAAAGGCTGGAGGAACTGCTTAATGTGCCCTGTCCCCCTCTTGGGCAGTAGGAGCAGCTGAGGCTGCCAGCACACCACACAAAAACTCAAGAGTCCACACCCAGAGTCATGTCCTCTGCCTTCCCTACCTGGATCCCACCTGTGGTCCAGTGCTGCAAGAGACTGGCCTTGGGATCTTTACAGCCATTAGGGAAGTAATAAGCAAAAGGAATGGTACTTTCTCTTCTTATGAAAGAATAAAAACAAAACCTTATGGGACCACAGACGTATATGCAGTCAGATGTTTTCAAAATGAGTGTTAAGTGACACATTACCTGTATTTCTAATTTTCATACATAAACATAGGAGCATTTTTAAACTTAAAACTTTTTTTAATATATAGAATTTTCTTATAATAGATCCCCCAATGTGAAATACCAGGTCCAAAGCATGAACATTTCCAGTGTCTTGATAACTGTTCCTTGGATGGTTCCTCTCCATTCACCAAGAACTGCCTGATCCAAGTGTTCTTCTATGAAGCAGCAGTGGGTACACAGTACCTGCAACCCTACAACTATGAGGTCAGGAGTAAGGATGAAGGTAACTAGAGTCAAGGCAGCGCCCAGAGCTTCTGGTTGTTGTTGTTAAGTGCTGTTGAGTTGATTCCAACTCATAGTGACCCTGTATAGGGTTTCCGAAGAATGGCTGGTGGGTCTGAACTGCTGATCTTGCGGTTCAAACCAACCTTACGGTCCAGTGCTTATCCTTAGCCCTGGTTATATTTCATGTAATCATCAATACTTGATTTGGTTCATCTTTGCAACCCCTTAAGAGACAATTTCTACATGAAGGTCAGATTACTACAAAAGATGTGTTGTTAGGACATGTTTACTACAGGACAGTCTGACCTCTTATCCCATCTGAGTAATTTTATTTTCTTTACTAAAAGCATCTATAATGATGAATTATGATATTCAGAAATGCTTTTGAAGTCTGCCTTGTAGAAAAAAGAAGTCCTCCTGCAACAACCCCTTCTGCATGGCTAGTCCCCTACTAAAGTTCGTTAACATGTTGAATGACCATGTGGAGGTATATTAAAAAAGAAAAAATATTATTTCTAGACCACTGTTTACATTGGGACATCTATGTTACAGGGTCACTATGGGTCAGAAAGGGCTCAATAGCACTTAACAACAACATGTTCCTACAAAAAAACTCTAGTCCAACCCTTGAGGTAAGAGAGTGATGAAAATGACAAATGACGAAAATGAAGGAATCACTGCTACATAGGAGAGCATATGCAGTATATGTGAACCTGGGGATATGATGTAGAAGATCCATGACTACTTCTCGTTGGGGACTTTGGATTCCAGGATATTCTATTCTTTGGGAGTTGCCTCATCTGTTAAAAGGAAAAAAATCAATGAAAACTTACAGGATGGAGGTTTTGGACTTTCCTGTGGTTTGGTGCAAAATCCATTGATGATCTTCAAATTAGTGTTTCTGGTGAGCCTCAGAGTTGAAACATCTCTTTCACATAACCTAAAACAATTTCCTAGAAAAGATAGCGATGAGGTCAGGAATAAAGAAAGAAAGTATGGTGTTTCTTAAAAACGAGAAATGCTTGAAGGTATAAATTTAAATTAATAAAAATTATCTCATTTAAAATACATCATCATAGGGTATAAAAGGCTGTTGTTGTGGTTGTTAAATGCCATTTAATTTAGAATCACAGTGATCCTGCATATGGTTTCCAAGGAACAGCTGGTGAGTTTGAACCATGGACCTTGCAGTTCAAACCAACTTTGAGGTCGAGTGCTTATGCTATAGTACCACACCAAGACTCATCTACTATGTTTTGAGTCTGGTGTACTTCTGTAGGATAAAGCACTAGACTGCAAGGGTAAAGCACCAGAAAAGCAAAACATAGCATACAAATGTTACTAGCTTTGAATTTTATGTAAGTACTTCTCCGATGCATCTTGCTACACATTAATGGTTCTGGAAGTAACATTATATATTAATAGTAAAGACTAGCAACCTCCCAAAAGGGATAAACTAAGCTGCTAAATTGCCAATACTATTCAGGTAAACTCTGGGTAGTGGGTTACAATGGAAAGGAAGGGACTCTAGAAAGCCTTGCTTCTTCCAAGTCAAAATTCTCCAATTGGAAAGCTTAAATATAGTCATTGTTTTTGTTATTGCTGTGTGCCAGGTCATTTCCAAAGAGTGATTGGTGAGTTACAACTGTTGACCTTGCAGTTAGCAGTCCAGTGCTTCTCCTACAGTGCCACAAGACTCCAGATATAGTCATCAATTATGTATAATTTTAAAAAACTAAACATACACACAGAGCTAATAATTTTAATGTAAAAATTTTCACACATAAGAGAATAGCATTGCAAATCCCAAGTACTTGTTTCCCAGCTTCATGAACAATAAACAATAATACATGGACCGGATTGAACTATGCCCCTCCAAAAAGATTGCTGAAGTAAGAAACCCTGGCACCTGTGAAAGTGTCCTTGAAGATGTTAAGAGTTAACATGAGGTTGCCCTTGAGTTGATTTCAATTCATGGCAATCCAATGTGGGTCAGAATAGAACTATGTTCCATAAGTGCTGATGGTTTTGTTTTTAAATTTTTATTAGACTGAAAATACACATAACAAAATATATACCATTTAAACAATTTCTACACATACAATTCAGTAACACAACATTCTTTAGGTTGTATAATTATTTTCGCTATCCTTTTCCAAATCATTCCATTAATAGAAACTCAATGCCACTAAGCAAAATCTCCCTGTTTCCACCTCCCTCCTACCTGAGACCACTAATAACCTTTGGTTTCTACAAGGTTGGCGGTTCAAGCTCACCAGCTGCTCCTTGTCAATACTATACAGGGTTGCTATGGGTCAGAACCGACTTGACGGCACTTCACAACAACATAGACAACATATTGATGGATCCTGTTTTCTTATCCAGTCTTGTGACTGGTGCATTTAATCCATTCAAACTCAAGTGTAATTATTGGTTGAGTACGAATTGGCTGCTGTCAGTTTTGTTTGTATGTGAGGGGTGCTGCTGTTTTCTTTGTGCCAAATAATTTTCTACACTGAGCTCATTTTGTTTGTGGGTTTTTCTTTTTCATTTCTGTTGTGTGAATGTTTACTACAGCTTTCTGATTTTCCTATTTTTTATTCTGATGTGAATGTATATTAATTTTCTCTGAGGTTACGCTGTAATTTATTTTCCCCCTTTAAAACAGTCTTATCTTAAAATCTACTTGACTTCGCCATTTGAAAGTTCTGTATCTATACTGCTCCCTCTCTTTGCTTTGTAGTTGCTTATAAATTGATATTTCTGGTTCCCTATTTTCAGTCTTGTAGGCTTGTTTCACTTTAACTACTTCTATATCTGGATTGAGTTCTGGGTGTTGTTGTTATGTATTAATGTCTGCTGTTGTTGGTTCTCAGTCCAAAGAACACCCTGTAGGGTTTTCTGTGTGTGTGTGTGTGTGTGTAAAGTTGGTCTGGTTATTACAAATTCCTTTAATTTCTTTTTATCTGGAAATGTCCTAATTTCACTGTCATATTTGAGGGACAGCTTTGCTGGGTACATGAATGACTCTTTGTTGGCAACTTTTTTCTTTGAGTTTTGTATATGTCATCCCATTGCCTTCTTGCTTGTATGGTTTCTACTGAAAAATCAGAGCTTAGTCTTATTGGGTCTCCTTTGTAGGTAACTTTTTGTTTTTCCCAAGCTGCTCTCAGGATTTTTTGTCTTTAGGTTTGTAAAGTTTGATTATGTTATGTCTTAGTGATTTTCTTCTGGGATCTATTATGTTTGTGAATCATTCAATGTCTTGTATACTTATTTTATCTTTCATAATGTTAGAGAAGTTTTCTTCAAAAATTTCATTACCCCACCCCCCAAACCAAAAGTCTCACATTATTAGCCAACCTCTGTAACTGCAGATGCATAAAAATAAAAGAAGAAAACAGAAGTTTTGCAAAACATGTTCAATTGATTAAATCTTGGCAAAATTGAACTTGTTATGGTATAGTGCCAGGACCTGTGTATATTACGTGTTGTGTCATCATATGTATGACTCCTTAGAGAGACCCAGCTTGGGTCTTCTCCATTGTCTTCTCTTGCAGTTGTATCTGAGTTTATTATCAGTTTTCAATCGAATCCATTTGGGAATGGGACGATTCTGCTTTTGTTTCTTGGCCAGGAATCTCTAGATCCTGAAAGTCTTATGAGAAGACACAAGTGAAGATGGAACGTAGCAGCACTCACACGATGGCGAAGAAAGGAAGAGAAAACTCATTACTTTTTATTGTCTCTTCCTTTCATGGAATTCCAATCACTCATAAGTTATTCCTCTTCATGGGGTCCCACATAACTCTAGGCTTTCCTCAGATTTTTTTCATTCCTTTTTCTGATTGTTTCCAGCATAACAGTATTGAGAGATTTATCTTCAAGTTTATTTGGGCTTCCATTGCTTTGAATTTACTACTTTGCCTTTTCCATTTCTGAAATCTTAGTATTAATCTTCTGTATTAATAGTATTAATTTTCTAGTTGCAGGCTTTGTATTGTTTTAAGATTTGCGTTCTTCTAGTGTTTTCCTGAATTCTTAGGTTGCTTTTGTGTGTGTGTGTATGTGTTTGTTCTCCTTGCCTTCCTCTAACTTTCTGTCAATCCTTTGAAGGTACTTAAATACCACTGTTTTGAATTCTCTTTTAGTTAGCTCCACTATCTTTTCTTTCTGAGAAACATTTTCTGGCTCTGCATCTTGGTCATTTATTTGAGCCATTCTCTTTGTTTCTTCATATGAGCTAGAACTGTCTGTTTTCTTTGGGACATTGTAATGGTGTCATTGTTGTTGTTGTCAGGTGCCATCGAGTTAGAACCGACTCATAGCGACCCTATGCACAGCAGAACGAAACAATGTCCGATCCTGGGCCAACCTCACTACCACTGCCACACTTGAGTCCATCAATGATGATAAGAATGTTATTTATTGGTCCAGTGGTGAGGATTTTTGTTTTCTTGACATTGAGATGTAATCCATATCGAAGGCTGTTCTCTTTGATCTTCATATTTGTATTTAATGAATGATTATATTGATTTATTTAATTATATTGATTTATTTAATTAATGATTATATTGATGTGTTCTTAGGTTCTCACCAGCAGCCTCCTATAGGTGTAGTTAGAAGATGGAAGCATGTACACCATTCTTCATTCACTGTTTGTGCACCTCAATTTAGGATGGGTGTGACTGATGTTGGCTGCTGTCTATCATTGTTCATAGTATAGGTGCTCAAGGGGACTGCTGCCAGCCAAGGAGCTCATGAAGTGGGTGCGGGAGGGTATGACAGCAGAATTCCTGGTCCTCGATAGAATTCTTATAGGCCTAGGTGTTATATATGCTCATGGCACTCAATCTAGGAGTAGTTTTTGAAGGCCTTTGATGGAGCTGGTTTCAGTTATCTGTTAGTATCCCAGGCCAACTATGGGTGGTTGGCTGGTTATGAGAGTTTCTGTTAGACTAATGCTGGACTAGTGGCTCTGTGGATTCTGTAGGTCTGGGGCCAAATCTGCCTGAATCCAGGCACCAAACTGGTGCAGCGGGACTCCATTTCACACTGGTGTGGCTCACACCCATGTGACTCAGAACTCCTGAAAAGTAGAGTCTGCACTTGCTGGTGGCAATCTGTTCCGCCAGACCACCTAAAGTTGCCAAAGCTGCTCCCCAAAGTTCAAGATAGTCACGCTGTGTCTCTCTGGCTGCTCACCATTCTCCCTCGTTATCCCTGCTCAGCTCTCCTCCCAGCAAACACTCAGTTCACTTCTCTTAACCTTTCTTCTGAAGTTCAGGGTTCCAGGATTTTCATCTGTATCAGTTTTATATGGTCTCTTGTGTCTATGTTGTAAAGGGTCTATGTAGAACATCTGCATAATTCCCTTTCTCCATTTTTGTTATATAACAATGAAATCTTTATGAATCCATCAATAGTTTCTGAATTGTTTTATGCAGTTGTCTTTAAAATTAGATAGAAAAGAGTTATAGACCAAAACCATTCATACTGTCTTTTGTTTATATTGTTAGGTTTACCAGTATTCTTTACTTCTTCATGTGAAACTGAGTTAATATAAAGTATCTTTTCATTTCAGCATGAAAAATTTCCTTTTAGGGTAGGTCTGCTAGTGATAAATTGTGTTTTCATATTTCTGGTTATGTCTTAATTTTTCCTTTCTATTAGTTAAAGAAAATGTGTATATATAAAACACATTATGTACAATTCAACATTTTTCAGGTATTCTTTCCTTCATATTTGAAGGATAGTTTTCCTGAAAATAGAATTCTTGTTTGACCATCTTTTTCTTTCAAGACTTTGTAAATATTATTCCACAGCATTTGGCCTCCATAATTTCTGATGCTAAATCTGCTGGTTATCTTACTGAAGAGCCTTTGTACATGATGTATCACTCCTCTCTTACTACTTGCAAAAGTGTCTCTTTATCTTTGGTTTCTGAGTTTGATTATAATGTGTCTATGTGGAGATTGCTGAGTTTATACTACTTCTTCAAGTTTGTTCAGCTTCTTGGATATGTAAATGTTCTTCATCAAATATGGTAGTAGGTTTTTGGCCATTATTTCTTCAAACAATAATCCCAAACTGTCCCTTCTCTATGAGATTCTCATTACGCTATGTTGTTGACAACATGGTGATATCCTCCCAGAAGTCTCTTAAGGTCTGTTCATTTCTCTTCATTATTTTTTCCTTCCTTTTACTCAGAATAAATAATCTCTGTTGACCTATCTTTAATTTCATGGATTCTTTCTTCCACTGTTGAGCACTCCTAGTGAATTTTTAATTGCATTAGTATACTTTTCAACTCCATAATTTCAATTGGTTATTTTAAAATTTCAATAGCTTTACTGATATTCTCTATTTGATAAGACAG